ATAAAGAAGCAATTTGCTTAAAGGTTTAAAAAAGGGAATGAGTCTGAGGCGGCATCTCATTATGACAAGCTTCTTTTCCACAGTGTCCTTGTTCCCTGTCCTGTTGCTCATTAACAGTCCATGAGCCCACACAGGTGTTTCACTCCCAGATTTTTGCCATATTACTCCCTGCCACCACCAGTATTTCCTTTAGCCTAGGAAATTTGATGCCTGGAGTTGTGGGATTTGGGTGGACTAATAGATGTGCGAGTCGAGGGGGCTGCAGTGAGGAGAAACAAGGGAATGAAATCACCTGCCATTCTTGTCCCAGATTTTTGCCCCTTCCTCCTCAGTGCAGTCCTGTCCGTCTGCATGGTTATTGGTCCATATATGTCCTGTGATCCTGGGAATCAACTTCCTTGGCCTCAGTGGGGGGAGGGAAATTAGGCAAAGATCTGTTGTTTTTGTACCAATGGACAAACCCAGGTTCTTATTTGAAGTCAAAAAAGGTTGAGAGCATAAGTGTAGAAGTAGGTCTAAACACAATGTATGAATTTTAATAAACAGCATCACAATGTAAAGTATATTTTGTTTCAGGGCAGAACATAGGATCAATATTCTGAAATGAGTATTTGAGAATTTTAATTGCTTTGCTTTTTTAAAAAAATAGATTTACTTCCATCCTTTTTTTTTTTTTTTTTTTTTTTTGCTTTTAAAGTGTTTGAGTGGGTTGGAGGTACATTTCCCATCCAACCCTTTTTTCTTATTTTGTAATGGAATTATCTACCCCCTTTGTACTCCTTAGGTATTCTATTTAAATATTTAATTAGTCTGGTGTCTGTCAGCTTGACGCACTATAAATATTTATGAAAGTGAATGGGTCACACATGAACACAGGAAGCTGCCTTATCCTGAATCATAACCTTGGTCCATTAAAGTCAGTATTGTTTTCTCACACCAGCAGTGGCTCTCCAGGGTCTCATGCTGACGTCTTTCACATTACCTCCTAACTGGAGGTGTCAGGGATTGAAACTGGGACCGTCTGCATGCCAAGCAGATGCTCTGCCAGTGAGCCACAGTCCCTGCAAAGATCTTGAAAAATGCAAAGATCTGCAGCCAGGAACACTGGCAGAAAAGCTGACCTGTGGTCTGATTGATGCCCATGGGAGATCTTTTGCTCTTTGAACTACCGTGTTTCCCCGAAAATACGACACTGTCTTATATTTACTTTTTCTCAAGAAGACACACTAGGGCTTATACCACAAATGCATAGAAATCCTGCTAGGGCTTATTTTTGGGGTAGGTCTTAGTTTCAGGGAAACAGGGTATATTCATGACCACAGTCATGTAAACTTCTGTCACAGAATTTAACAGGGGCAACTGATGGCTTTAGGGGAAGCAGAAGGTGGCCAGATTCAGCCATGGGAGCTTCTGTTGTAAAAAGCAACATATCATAAACATATTACTACAACAGTTCAGGGCCAATGTCAGGTTTATGCATCTTCCAGTGCTTTTATTTTTCATGTGGATTGGAAGGCAGATTGCTTTCATCTCTCTGGATGCTGAAGAGAGTAGCTGAATAATTTCCACTGTCCAAGGTTGTTCCGTGCTCATCATTAGAATTTGTTTTTTTGCATTCATGTTTGGAGTCCTGAACTCTCTTGATGTAATTTTTGAAACAGCATTTGATGGAGGATTTGAAGATCAAGTAGGTGAGTTCAGTGACATTTAGAACAATGCACAAGCAGGACGTCACCACCACTATATACAGGAAGACTTTTTTCTCCGTTGGCTTAGATATGTAGCAATCAACAGTGTTTGGACATGGATGCATGTCACACTTAACAAGTCGGGGAACATTGAAGCCACCGTACAACTTGTGAAATAAAAAGAGAAAGCTGATTTCAAATGCTGTTTTGGAAAGGAGGCTGATAAGGTAGGTGCAGAGCAATCCACCATCCATGCTTCCTGTATTCTTGTACAACTTTTTCTTGTGTCTTTTTTCTCTGTTTTCTCGATAGGCAACATGGAGGACAACCAGAAGCGATGGGGTGGAGACCATGATCAGTTGCAAGGCCCAAAGCCTCACCTGGGAAACAGGGAAGAAGTGATCAAAGCACGCATTTTCACAGCCGGGTTGCCTAATATTGCACTCAAACTCCTTCAGTTCATCTTTCCACACGTTTTCTGCAGCCACTACATACACAAGCAGGCGGAATATAAACACAATAGCCAGCCAGATTCTGCCGATTCCTGTTGAATACTGATTCACTCCACTTAGGACATCTCGTAGGAATCCCCAGCTCATGCTTGCTGCGTCACAAAGGGCCAACTGTAATGAAATAAATGCATACTATAAGACTGCCCTCTGAATAAAGACTAAAACAGAATTGCAGGATTGGATAAGCTACCACTTTCTGATCCCAGCAATCTTAAAGTAACTGGATTGTCCAAGGATTTGAATTTAAATTGCTTCTTGCTCCTTCCCCTCTATAAACTAAATAATGCATTCGATCTAATCCTGACCCCAAGTGGAATGAGTCTGCAGAAGGGGTTTTTTGTTGCAGTGGTTACTGCCTTTGCTTCGTGCATGAAGCTTACTCGTGCAACAATAAAGCAGCACAATGTTTTGAGAATGCCCCTTCCTGCAACAGTGCGCTGCCCCCCCCCCGTTCCCGAGGCTTCCCAGTAAAAGGAGGGGCTTTTTGAAAATGCAGTGGACTGCTGGGGAAATCAAGGGGGCAACAATCCTCTCTGGAGTGGAATGCTGGCATGGGGGAGACAATCATGACCAAATCTTCCTTGGTTTAATCATCACTAGACTAGGATGGAGCCATAAGCGCGAGATGTCTTGTTTTTCATCTGGTACCACCTCCACTGCATTGATGATTGTAGATTTGGCCAGTATGGGCTTGGGTCCACCAGAGTACACATGAGGAGTTTTGCCTACAGAGCACAACTTTCCCACCACCTTCCCATTGCAGCCCATGGTTGCAGCAGGAGTGCGGACATGAGAAATTCTTGCAGATGCAGTGGGAAAAGTTGCACTCCATGAGCAGAAACCCACCTGTGGGAATACTCTGATACATTCAAGTCTTAGATGTTTATTAAATCCCCTGAGCCCTTGGAACAGTTCCCAAACCAGTTGTTTACTGAAATGTTTTCAAGTAGTTGTGCAGGCCAAACGTACACTCCATCAGATTTGTCTAGGGTTTTTGAGTCAAGTGTTAAACTGGTCCACGATGAGGAACACAGCAGCATACAGTTTGCCTAATGATGCTTTCTTTGCCATTGTCTCTGCATGCTGCACTGATATTCCAGATCAATGGAGGGAGTGGCTCCTAGGTTTCAGCCTACAGATCCCGGTGCCAGCAAGAAGGAACAAGTTCTTGCACCAATATATCCCTCAGGCCACATGCCAGACTAGAACTAGTGATCAAAGCTGCTGTGATAGTACACTTTCTTACACAGCATAACTTTGCCACCCAGGAGTGTTTCAGGGTACAATAGGAGTGGAACGTGAGCCCAGGGATTGTGATGTCTCCTCATGTGACATCTTAAGGGGCACTTGCTGGAGCCAGGATCAGTGGAACAGATTTCTATAACTGTTTGCTAGTACAAATAAAAATGTTTAAGCACCAGTGGTGAAAAACAGAACTGATCATCTCTGACTGCCAGCAGGAAGCTTTGATACTGTGCTGCACTAAATGTTTGCCCTATGCTGTTGAAAGCAGTTCCTAATCGTTGGGCGTTCAATGAGAGATGGGAAACAAAAAGTTCTTGGTCCTAAAGCAATGATCAGGATTGGAGCAGACTTACTGTGTTTAAATAAATAGAAACATGCTTGTTTACCATTTTGCTCCAACCTTCCCCATCTTATAGGATCCTCAAGGCAGCTTACAGTAAAAACTAAAAATATAAAATAATATTAGCAGATCAAGAAAAGGAACTGGAGAAGAAATTCTAAATATAGTTAGCAGTAGCCAACAACATGTACAAGGCCTTCCAAAACATTAGGCCTTGCCCCTGGAAATGAGAAGGTGAATGAGCTTAATGGACTGGATTACCTGGGACAGAATGTTTTGGAAGCTAGGTGACACTGTCTTATGACTAAATGCACAAACACTAGCCTACTTAAGAGGGCTAACCTTGAGTTTCAGTTTCCTAAGCCCATTGACTTCAATAGAATTGTCTAACTATGTAGGATGGCGTGGTTAATCTTAAATATTATAAAGTACGGTAACTGGCACATGCACAGATTAAAATGTTCACAGGTTTGAAAATTATTTGCAAAACACTAGAACATCAAATTGTAGAAGGGTATAACCCAAATCAGATTGAAGTGTCTTCTTCACAAGAAATGACCTGTACAGTGTGAAATGCGGCTGTAAATCAATCTTCCCATATGTCCATAAATCAAGTCAAAACTCTAATACTGATTTAAAATTGTCTTTAGGTTTTTACATTTATTTAATTTGCCAATGATGGGTGAAGTGCTTGGAGTGTTGTGGGTGAATTGGGCCACAGATTAAAATGAAAGCTTCCATGTATTAAAATGGATCTGGACTACACTCATTTCCTTATGTTGCCATCCTATAGACACATAATGTGTGCAAAGGGAAGGCACTGGAAGCCCTAGCCAGCTATGAAGAAGTGCCTGAGCAGGCTCGGCCCCATCATTAGGAACAGGCTAACAGATTTTGTGGAGAACCTGAGAGCCCTACACTGAGCTCCTCTTCTGGGCTTAGCAGCCGCTTCCATTCTTGCACCACTGACAGACTGCCCTCATAGGGCTGCAACTCTGGGTTGGGAAATTCCGGGATATTTGGGGGTGGAGCCTGGGGACAGTGGGGTTTGGGGAGGGGAAAGACTACATCAGGGTATAATGGGATAGACTCCACCCTCCAAAGCCTTTTCACCTCTGTAGTCTGGAGATCAGTGGTACTTCCTGGAGATTTCCAAGTCCCACCTAGAGGTTGGCAACCCCATGCCTGCAGCTGCATAGCCAGTGGTGCTGGAAGCATGAGGGAGGGAAGGAGTGCTGCCCCTGCACCTGCCAGCCAAATCTGGCCAGGTGAGAGGAGCCTCCGCAGCTGCCCTTACCTTTGTGGTGCCAGATCCCAGCAGTAAGTGGCAGGGGGAGGCAAGTGTTGCTCATGGTGGCCAGCAGTGGTGCAGATCTGCTAAAAGTGAGAGAATTCTTTTTCTTTTCTTTTTTTTTTATGCTGCACAAGGTGGAAGAAGGAGACACAGGCACTGACCACCCACCTGGGGAGATACTAAAGGAACCATGGGGGGGGGGTGATTCTAGTCAGGCTCACCATCTTCCTCAAGGAGGTGGAGCACCAGATGAGTGCAGAGTCAGCCTGGCCACAGTGGGTGGGTTCGTCCCCTTGCCTTAGTTCTATTATTGACCCTTGTTTCTGACTCAGAATTGAATACCTACTGATTTTAATGCCTTGTTTTGTGCTTCAGGCAGAGCTTGCTTTTTAAAGTCCTCAAAGCATTTACCCCATTTTTGTTTTCTAAAAACCAGTCTTTTGCTTTTTTAAAATTTCAGATTGAAGCAGGAAGTAGAAGTGGGAGAGTGAAGATATGAATCTGCCTTATACTGAAACAGACCCTTGGTCCATCATGGTCAGCACTGTCTACCCAGACTGGCAGTGGCTCTCCAGGGTCTCAGGGTCTTTCCCATCACCTCCTCCCTGGTCCTTTGAACTGGAGATGCTGACAATTGAACCTGGGGCCTTCTGCATGCCAAGCAGATGCTCTACCACTGGGCCACAACCCAACAGCTTTGAGAGTGATTCTAAACAGGTCTACTTAGAAGTGTCTTTTTTATTCATTGGGGCTGACTCCCAGAAAACTCTTCTTGCGGCTGCAGCTTCCTACGAGGCAATGCCCCCATTCAAGAATTTAGAATTATTCCTTCATACATCACTGAAGTGTGGAGGGGGGAGGGAAAGCCATAGCTCTCCTAGGTGCCAAAAATTCTGGGCCAGTCCTCTGGCTGAGTGTCTGCCCAGACCCTTTTTACAGATACCTTACCTAATGACACTAGTAGAAGGGCAAGAACCAGAGGGCTCTTGAATATCAGCCTTTAGCCAGTGGCTTGCAAGGAGGGAGCCCACGGCCCTATTGCTGAGAAATTAAGTGTTCTAAGAGATCAGGTCATAAAAAGCTTGGGGCAGCTTGCCTGCAGAGTTTGCCAATCTGAGCATCAGTGACAGAGGGAGAGACTTTTACCATCTAATCGGCTGCTGTTCTGTAATATGGCCTAAAGAACATGACACTGTTCCCTGTTAATTCTGCTTTATTCTTTTCTGTTTATTTGTTTAAACTGTGTAATGGTATTTTTGCAAGCCACTTTGGGGAGAAATGTGAGGTAAAAATTCCTAAATAAATATAAATCAACCCAGAAGAATTTTCTTTTTAGTGAGTACACATGGTAAATATCACTGTGTAAGGCCTGCAAAGCAGATGAATTTGCAGTTGTACTTTTTAAGTGATAGGTGGCACTGTTTTCTCACTATAGTAGATACCGTAGTGCTGTTTCATCATTAGTCTAAACTTTGTCGTCTTTGAGGCAGGATAATACAGTTCAAGTCTCCATTCTGTCAATATCAGGAAACACAACTGATGATATTGTAAGCCTGAAGTGCCAGCTTACTAAATGGAAAATGCATAGTTAAAATATAATTCTTTGACCTTCTTAAACAGCTTTATACTTGCTTAAAATGCCTGACTAAGCAATAAGTACAAGCAACATTTCAAAATTCTGCAGTAAGATTGATTAAGGATTTATGTGTTTGAAATTAATAAGATACTGTAGAGAGTCAGACAACCAAGGATCAACTTGGGGAGACATAAAGAATTCACATAAAGAATGCAGAAAGAGAAGAAGAAGAGATTGGATTTATAATCTGCCCTTCACTACCCAAAGGAGTCTCAGAGCGGCTTACAAACTCCTTTCCCTTCCCCTCCCCACAACAGACACCCTGTGAGGCAGGTGGGGCTGAGAGAACTCTGACAGAAACTGCTCTTTTTCAAGAACAGCTGTGCCAGAATTCAGCCTGGTGCAAGTGGGGGAGTGGGGAATCAAACCCAGTTCTCCCAAATTGGAGTCTGCGCACTTAACCACTACACCAAACTGGCCTTTGAACAATCTTATAGGTGAAGATGAATCAGCCAGTAACGCAATTGTAAAACCAAAATATTCAAGTTCTCTTTCATGTTCTAGAAGTCTGTATTAACAACATCTAGGCATAGCATAAATAATGAGAGCAAGACAGCAGCTATTCTACCTTG